TTCACAAAGGTGACACCATTACCAAAAACCACTACTTGATTAAAGGCATTCCCAGTCATGCATTCTTCCTTCAACCCATCTTTCCTGAATCAAGAACAGGAGATGAGAGGCTCTGAAAAACAAAGAGATTATATCTGGGCAAGAAATCATCTGAAAGAATTCAACAACCAATTATAATCAGCTACTGGAGCAACGTGAAATAAACCCATATCCTTCTATTTTCTTTCATGCCCATTTGAGCCATGCTAGTCACAACAATCCAATGCTGGAACCACCAGAAAGCAAAGGTTGCCAGCCAGCAAGGCAGTGAGCAGGCATGCTCAGAAACACTGGGAATAGCAAGCCATCCATCATGGACAGCTGGATAAACTTTCCAGCAATTATGAATTCTCTGCCCAGTCTGTTTTCACGCAGCAACCAGTGCCCGTCAGTCTTGCCTGAAACAGTTGGTCATAGTGTAAAGTCCTACCATCTGTCCTACCATCACCCTATTTCTGAACTCATTCTTTCAAAGTGAGAAGGAAGACAACGACTTTTGGTCAATAACTCTGACAACACCATTATCCTTAGGGTATTAAATGGGGAGATAAGAACTTCAGGGTTTGCACAAATCATATTAGTTCAATGCTCAAATCCGGGTAATGCTTCTTTTCAAAGTATTAATTTCATTTATTCTATTTGCTCTCGCTCTGTCCTGATAACACAAGTGCACATGGCCTCTAAATGAGATCCTCCTATTTTATAAGTTATAATCCTCCCTTTCTAGAGTAGTAATGAGATGTCTTCACTTAATCGCGTTTATTCCCCCCCCCCAGCTTCTGCTTTTATCCATTCCCATTCCACATTGATTTGTCTTAAAGGTTTCAGAGAAAACCATCAGGCAGAGAGTCAGAGGCTCCAAGAGGCTCCCAATGCATATGGCTGCACATGCTGTTTAACCTTCAGAGATTACAAAAGCAAAAAGGAGGGAAAAGGGCATCTTTATTTGCAAAGTTTCCTTTGTTGGTAAGAAGGAGGAAAAAAAAAAAAGAAACCTGAAAGAACGGAGAAGACATTTTGATTAATTGGAAATGAAAAAGGAAAGACTTCATGCTTAGGGGAATGGTGAGACTATTCACAACACAGTCAAGCAATTAAATAACTTGACTGACAACTTTGCAAGTTCCTCATGCTAGAAATAGAAAATGATTTAAAGATAGCTGTGTTAATTCTTGGGTATTTCACATGAGACATAAGGCAGAACACCAGCATTAGTTAAACACCCTAGGCCTTGCTCTGAAATACTGTACATATAATCCTTGTTGTGTTGTAAGTACCCACAGCATTAAATTATTCAAAAAGTCCGCTCAGCACCATGATCCTGCAGTGCTGCACAAACAAAATATTTTATCTCTAATACAAACTGGGGAGAGTTCTTCTACAGCACTTCAGCACACTACTTCCATTTGAGCCAGTCCCCAGGGTTAATCAAAAAGCCATATTCACTCAAAGAGCAAAGTGAATGCTGCACTATTACTTACAGAGCTGTTTGCTTCTTAAAGCTTCTTAAAGCTGTACAGAGTTTTACTTAAAACCTAAGGTATCTAGAAGCTGAGTACCTTCTTCAAAGTCATTAAAATAAAAATAAAGATCAAGACAAAAATGTAGAACAGGACCCAGGCACTTAACTCTAAATCCCTCTTGAAACCAGCACACTTCAAGAGGAAAAAAATTAGCAAAACAAAACACACAAACCTCAATAAAATAATGATAAATTTTAATCTGCACCCTGCCCCATAAACAATCAAGTAACTGGCCCCAGAAGCTGACCACAAGTTCCATATCAAAGGTTAATTCTAGTCCACCCTCTCTTTGTGTGCACTATATAATAACACTGAAGTGCTTATAGCAATATTTCCAATAATAAAAGTCAGTAAGTGAAAGCCATAAAGAACAGATTAAATGACAAGCAACATCCAGCACAATCACAATGAAATCACTTCACACTACAGCTATGGTATTTGGATTTATACAAGTGGTATGGTTACAGGAGACTGTTCCAGCACTGCTGCAGACAACAGTACACAAGAGGGCTACTAATCACTGAACTATTGATATGTTAAGGGCACAGGGCAGTTCAAGATCTTAAGGCAAATACTGAAAAAATGAATAAAACTTTCTGATTATATGTGGAATGGTTTTCAAGTTTTACCAAATTAAGTGCTGCTTAAGAAGCAAATTATTAATTTCTTATTTCTTTCATGGGAGTTGCCCCATTTTTAATCTCACTTCCCTAATAGGTAACAACAACAACAAAAACAACCCTGGAAGTTCCTCCCTTATAAATGTAAGCAGATAATTTCCACTGCTATCTGAACCTGGATTACCACTAGGTACCTTGAGTTCCACTACTATCTTCTACCTGAAAGAGAAGATTGACACAAGACATGGATGAGCTGCTCATATCCAGTATTTTCCCCATTTGCTAGGGCTAAAAAACAGAAGAGCAAGAAACATTCAAGTTCTATTCATAAAAAGGGGGATAATACTAGAAGATAAAGGACAGACACAGTTTGAGTAGGATTGAGTCAATACAATAAGGTAACCATGCCCAAAAGGAAACTGTAGCTAAGATAAAACAAGTCTGATAGGGATCCCAATAATTTAAGTCTGGCCATAACAGCTCCTGCTTAGGAAGGTATCTAGAAGCTGACAAACAATAGTTCTGCCCTCATCTTTGCAAGGACAAACTAGACTATCCCATTTTTTAAGGATCCTAAATTTACGATTGATCAAGAGATAGTTAAAGAACAATGAAATTTAACAGTTTCTCATTCTTGCACCATATTCTGGGCTAACACACCATGGTCACTATTTATCACAAGGGGACCCTAATCAGATTTTTCCAGAGCATAAAATACATAATATCGGGGTATGCAACAGTACAGGATTAAAAGCTAATTCAGATAATAGAACAGATTTGTATGTGAGCAGTCAGGTCCCAACTCATTTTAGTGGTGTCCTCTTTGCATTTCACAAATATTGCATGACTCTGCTAGTCACATTGCTTCAGGATTACACTCCACCTCATTGCAGGAGGGCAGAGCTCTACTTTGAGCCAAGTCACATCTTTAGATTGGAAAACAAATACACCAACTTCTTCCCCTTGTTCTTACAGAGGCCAGTTAATTGTATTCATAAAGAGAACATTCTCTTTCTAGTGAAAAGAGAGTTAATACTGCATCTGCTGACCCAGATGTCCTTTGCAGAGGAGCAACAGTCACCTGCCTCAGACATCACTGCTCTGAAGCTCAGCAATGATCCAACACCCCATGGTCAGGATACAATCTGCCAAGAGGAAACTTCCTGCAACACAGCAGCCGTTCACAAGCTGTATCTATCTAGGAGAGCAATCTCAGACACCTACCAATCCATTCATATACAAATTTTATCATGGAGACAAAGCACACTTGGGTCCAAAACCACAAACAGAGCAATTCATAGAAGAGAATTTCCTTAAAGACTATTAACCACCAAAGTGAAAATACAACCTCTTGCTTTCAAAGCCTCTAAGTCTTAGAAAATCAGAATTTGCAAGGGTAAAGGTGGGAAATACTGTTATATACCTGCTCTGTTCCCATGCTCCCCATTAGCAGCTGCTAGGAATCACTGTCAGAGATGGGCTACAACTATAAAGACATTTTCTTTGAACCACTTTCATCATTCTTATATAAATTTTATTAATTCAGTCCCCAAAAATATCTTATAATATAAACCTTTAAATGCTTCACATTTTGCCTGCATTTTTTTGTATGTTGAATGCCTGTTAGCATTCAACACATAGAAAAAAAATCTCTAAACCTCATAGGATTCATTGCTTAAATCAAGCACTTACTGGTTAAGCTACAAATCAGTAGGATGAAAGAACTACAATAAAGACTATCCACACTCCAGTCTGTCCTTTTCCTAAACCATCCTTTCAGTATGCACCAGGCAAGAAGAATTCTCTTGGTCTAGTTCTTTCAATAAAGTTTTAACAGTCCAGTCTAAAAGAATGGGCAGTTTCATCTCACTGTGGCAAGCATGGCCCCACCTCGCTGTCACACCCTGACACCAGTGCAGGTCAGGAAAACCTGGCAGTTCCAGTAAGACTCTGCAATGGTTACAGGCAGTACACATTGGAATGGCAGTATACAAAAGAAAATAATATAAAATAATATCATGTGAATATTAAGTCCCAATGACAGTGCCAGTGTACTGTAGTGATTGATAGAAACCTTTTGTTCTACTCAGCCTCATCTCACTGTACTCCTGCCTCCAGCAGTGCTCTTCTCAGCACTGGTGTGACAGCAACCCAATGGGTCATCTCCACAGCACCAAGGTGCCTGACTAATTGTAAAAGCTGCAGCAAGAAGTCCCCAGAAGTAAGTCTACCTGCTGGGCAGGAACAAATTGGTTTGGGAGTCAGTGGTGTATCCAAAAAAAAGGGTTTGTGCTTCCTGGTCCCTAAAAGTCAATCCTAGACCTTCTTCAAAAGGTTACAATGACAGGAACTGTCAATTACATTGACAGTTTCATAACAGTTCTTCTGTTATAAAAGACTCAAACAAACAAAGACATTATTACTTTTTATTAATTTGTGTACATGCACAATTATACCCTAGGAAAAAAAGAGAGCAAAGTCTCAGGATACATCAGGTCAGCAGAATGTCATCCTGTATTTATTGAAAAATTTATTTCATACACTTGAGAGATCAATCAACAAGGACCACGCATACACACAGACCGTATTGTGTGTTCCCAGCACAGCCATTGCTCATGCCTTGGCAGCATGGAGTGATGTGCTGCAAGTGGAGCTTGCAGCTGCACTGTGAGCCAAATGTTAAGTGATGAGTGAGGTGAGGAATGTTTCAGCCCAAGTTTCTAAGCTCATCACACAAGTGACATTAAATGAATCCCCTCAAGCAGAGCCATTTTAGCCTATCCAGGTTGGAAACATAGTGGGGGGTACTGTTACTCACCATCTGGGCTGTTCTCTGCCTCTCCTCATTAATGCTGTTCCTTTCCTTGGCCTCACTGGCTGCTTCCCTTTCTCTTCTGGCCAGATGGAGCAACTCCTCTTGGACCAGTGCCTGTTCTTGCTCATACCTGTATGAGCACCAAAAGCAGAGAGGTCATCAGCAGACTTCTGGCAACAGAGTCATGGCTTGTCATGGAGTACCCCTGCTTAGAGCCAAAACACAAATCCAGAATTTGACACAAAATCTGTTCACAGTCCCATTATCAGTAGGAATTCAAAAGCACAACAAACTTTAAATATGACCCGCAATTCTAGTGAGGTACAACTCTGGCAACAACAACATAGCACCACATAAGCCTATACTTCATTTATATTTAGCTCTATTAAGTACTTCATTATCACCTGAAAACAGTGAAAATAGGAAGCAGTTAGCCAGACAAATAGATGCTGCTTTGGAAAAGATCAAGGGGCATACAATGATAAAAGGATTCAGCCTGGCTGACAATGCTGCCCTTTGGCTCTTACACAGGAAAGAGAAATCACACAAAATGCATGCAGCAACACCACTAAGAGAGGCAGCCCTGAACTGAAAAAGGCTTTAAAGGGGATTCTCAGGCATTAAAACATAATCATAAAATAGAATTACAGAATTGTTAAGGTTGGAAAAGATCAAGTCCAACCATTAACCCAATGCCATGTTCACCATTAAACCAAGTCCCCAAGTGCCACATCCATAAAAATATGATTTTGAGTACTTTTGAATACTTCCAAGAATGGTGATTCCACCACTTCCCTGGGCAGCTTGTTCCAACGCCTGATCACCCTTTCAGTGAAGAAATTTTCCCTCATACCCAACCTAAATCTCCCTTGGCACAACTTGAGGCTACTTCCTCTTGTCCTGTCACTTGTTACACCTGGGAGAAGAGCCAACCCCCACCTGGCTACAATCTCCTTTCAGGTGTTGAAGAGCCATAAGGTCCCCCCTGAGCCTTCTTTTCTCCAGGCTAAACACTCCCAGCTACTGCCAAGGAGACTTGTGCTCCAGCCCCTTCCCCAGCTCCAGTGCCCTTCTCTGGGCACACTCCAGCACCTCAATGTCTTTTGTGTACTGAGGGGCCCAAATCTGAACCCAGGATTTGAGCTGTGGCCTCAACAGTGCCCAGTGCAGGGGGACAATCGCTGCCCTGGTCCTGCTGGCCACACATTGCTGATACAGCCAGGATGCCACTGGCCTTCTTGGCCATCTGGGCTCATGTTCAGCCACTGTCAAACACACACTCATTATGCTCAGACTGAAGTAAAACACAGACATATGCATACATAGATATATTCCCAAATGAGCTAAACTACTGTCTTTTTCAAGAGCTTCACCTCACCTCCTGTAGAGTTCATGCTCTGCAGCAGTGTCACTTGCCTTTGGTGGCTGAATTCCTAGAAAGGAGAGAGAAACCTGTGACAACTAATAGTCCAACAAATGTAGTCCTTCATCACACCATAAATTATTTTAGGAGAATTTAATACTATGCATCAAGAGAAAAAAAAGTCAAGAAAATTTAAGTTTGATGGATAGAGTTTGAATTTATGAAACAGAGACACCAACAGCATCATTTTCAACCAGGCATACTGAATAAACCATGCTACAGACAGCTTCTATGTGAGGATATTAACTCCTCAAACCTTTACCTACACTGAAACATGACCATGGTTGCAGACCTACTTTCCACTTCCTTCCTCTACTTCCAGTAAATCTTCCTCTTGAACTTCTCTCCTTGTAATTACAAGGGATTCCACAAGTGAAGATGAAATTATTTGATGGAGTTCATAAAGCTAAATCTACATTCAGCAAAGACATAGGCTGACAGCAAACAAATCCCTGAAAATAAAGGCCTAGTTCTCTAACTTCATTTTAGTCTGGATGCCTCAAACAAATCCACACTGCTGGTATATATCAACAAAGCCTGTTTGAGAACAAATAGAAATCAAATAGTTTTCTGACCTGTAAAGACAAGTTCAGAAACCGAGTTTTCACCATTCACTTAGCCAGCTGTGCTTAGACAGCTTATCTTTCCCTATGAGCAAAGAATAAAAAGCAGTACTTCCCTCACCCAAGCACAATACACGGCCTGCATATGTAAAGCAGACAACAAGGAAGCTTGCCAGAAATGAAAGGCAAAATATTTCTGCCTTATTTATTGCACGATCATCTGAAATGCTAGAAATGTTCCCAGGGTGACACAGGCTAACCAAAGAGCTCCTCTCACAATGAGGCAGCACTGAAAAACCCTGGCATCCTGTGTAACATGCAGTGGCAGCACCACCCCAACAGTACCTGGAGATCTGGGTCTCACTCCTGCAGCCAGTGAAGATGGAGCTGTGCCATTGGATGCACGGGGAGATCTCTGGAAACACTTTTTACTTTGAGGGGACCCTTTCATCCGGTTCACTACATCTTCAGTGAGCTGAAACACAGAACCAGGGAAGATATTAGCCAAGTCAGTTTCTGGTGTGTATTTCAGTGTGAACCTCCCCTTTTGTTAGCTCCCACAATACTGCAGAAGTATTGCCAGTTATCTCATTGCAATGTCCTTCCAACCCAGGCAGTCAGCACTTATATGTTAACTTCACATTTTTTAAACCCATACCCTATCAGTAAGTGACAAAACCTCCAATCTACTGCCCGACCCTAAAAACTTCACTAGACAGTCTTCCACAAACACCAACAAAGGTGGAGAGCTCCCCTAAACAAGTCAACCCTTTGTATAGGGACAAATTTACCAGAAGTGGGAGGAAAGAAATTAAGCAGGTTTAAGTTCATCTTTTCCTCTTCTTGCTCCATGCTTGCTAACCCAGCTCAGCAGGACAGACATGCTGCAAGCCATGACAGAGAACAGCCATGCAAACCTCCCACTCATATAAGGCCGCAAACATTTTTGCAATCTCAGCTTCATTTTCATTCCCTGACTTGGGTTCAAACCCATAAAAAAGAAAGAAAAGTTAACTTGAAGTTTTCTGGCAATTTAGCCCAAAAGGCCTCTCACAGTACTGTTAAAATTGACCCCTTTCTCCTGACAAGGTCAGAGGGTCTGGCTGCAGAACAAAACTAAATAAGGCTGCTCCACCACTTAGACTTCCCACAGTAGAAGACATATTTTGAGCTATACCACTACTACCCAACTTAACAGCATTTTTAATACCTTAATTTTACATTGCTATCATGCCCAATTCCTGATTTTAAAGACACAAATATTTGTCTATATCCTGTAAGGAGAAATTAGGCAAAGAGAATTTTACCTCCATCGAACACTTTAACAAGGAGATGGGCACAATCTTACCTAACTTTTGTCAAATAATTAGTCAAAATTGAATGAAAAAATAAGTAGCCACAGCAAAACACACTCTGTAAGTTCATTTCTGGCACATTTCAGGGGGAAATCACATAAAAGCATCAAGAAGCAAGAGCAGTGAAAATGATGGTACTAATAAGAAAACCCGCAAAACTAACATGTAAAAAAAAAACCAAAGAAAAATATTAACGGGAAAACATATTCCCTAATGTTAGCACCACCACTCTCTAGGGCTCGTTTCCGCCATACACACTTGTCAATTTCCGACCGAAAGTCAAGCAGCAGTTTCCCCCTGTGGCTCCCTATTTCCAGCCGCTCCTGTCTCCCGCCTGCTCACACAGCGGCGCTTTGCCCGGGCTCCTGGCACCACGAACAAGGGCAGAGCTGTCTCCTCCTGGATGCCCTCAGAGCCGCGCAGCGCCGTTAGCATCCAACTGCTTGCAAAGCACAAGGCAGGGGCAAAAGGAGGTCATGAAGCAGCGAGGAGGGAAAGAGGGTTGAGAGCAGAGTTTGGAAGTGGAAATAAGGACCTGGTGTGCCCCGCTCGACAACAGCCATGCCCAGGCCCCCAGCCCTCTTTCCCATCACTCACCACTCGCCCCATCATTTCTCCAAATCCCTGTTCCTTCATCCTTCAGGGTTTCTCTCCCCTCCTCCTTGCTGTTTCCACCACTCATCCGTTCCAACCCTGACGTCCCGGCCAGACCCTTCCCCAACCCAGCTCCCTCCGCCCCCGGCCCTGGCAACCTCCCCGCCTCCATAACCCGGCCCCAGGGACCCCCGGGCCGCCTCACCCTGATGCCCTGCACCACCCGGATTTGCTCCCGCTCATCCACCCCGAAGGACACCCTCCTGCCGCCGTGGCTGCTCTCGCAGCCGCCCATGCTGTCCGGGGTCGCCTGTCCTCGCCGCGCCCCTCTCCTGCACCGGCTGCCAGCAGCGCCTGTGCCCTCGCAGCGCCTGCCAACGTACCCGCTCCCCATTGGCGGCGGCCGCGGGACGGCCAATAGCGGTGCGCGGTGCTGGCGGCGGGGCGCGGTGCACGCTGGGAGCTGTAGTCTGTGCCGGGAGCGGAGCCTGAGTCCCGCTCCTGTCCCGGTGAACCCGGCGTCAAAATTGCCCGTACAACTCCCACTGCTACACGTCCAACTCACGGGGTTTTCCTCACGTGAGGAAGGATGACCTCTGGTCAGATACAGCAGCTGTGCTGGGGCAGAATTCTCCTGTGCCCCTTCCAGCTTCTCTGCTCCAGCCAGACCTGCCCTGACACACACATGGGTGGGTCCTGCATAGGTCAGGCTCATACAGTCCCCGTTGCCAGGCATGGCTGATCCATAGCCTAAACCAAAGGAATTAGATAATTCAACACAGAGCAGCTGGACCAAGAAATAACAGCTTTGGAGAATCTTTTTCAAACAAACTTTCTGCACTCCCAGAAATATGGGCCAGTTGGTATCAATGTGCTACTTATCTACTCAGCACACTACTCCTCAGTAGTGCAAGGGAGCACTTTTAACTGTTTAATGCTGCTTATTCCTCACTGCAGTTAATGTGGCAACCACAGCTTTGCCTCAGAGTGGGACTTGGGCCAGCATTATGGGAGTATCTGGGACTCTGCACACCCCAAACCTCCCCAGATATCCAGGCCTCTCCTAGAGCACATTCCTGGAATCAGGGAATATTTTGTTAATTGTGCAGTACTGTGTATGCTGGAGAGTTGGCCCGTTGCTTGAGCTCTCAAGACAAGGGCACTGCATTGTGCACCATGAGCTGTCTGCACCCCAGAAACACTGCACCCAGTCAGGCAAGAGGTGCAGTGGCTGAAGGTCCCTCCCAGAACACGCTCACCTGCCTCCTGCTTGCTTCTCATCTGCCACCTGCTCACTTCATTTGACAGCACCCAATTTTTGTACTGAAAGAGTCCATGAACAGATATTCCTTATTCACCTCTTCTGCCCTAAGGGTTTCACAGGCCTGCACCATTGCTGACCCCTTTCTCCTGCTGGTGAGCCTCTTCCAGGCTGGTGAATTTCCAACCATGTAATTACTCCTCCAGAAGTCTTTCCATAACTGTGATTACGCCTGTCATCCTTTCCTAGGCCTTTTCCAGGTGTACATTCCCAGCCAGGTGGCAGACATTACCTGCAAAGATCCAGGAAGGAGAGTGGGCAAAGGCAACCAAAACCACATCACACCTGTGTCCATGCCTTCCTGCAATTTTTTTTTTTTTAATCTTCAAGCTTTTTCCTCCCCCATATGTCTCATTTGAGAAATAAAGCATTTATGCCAAACTTAATTTTATTTATTTTACAAACAAAAATATACATTTATTCTATATTTTCTCTCTTTTCACCACCCCTCAAACATAACACACTTTGCTCAAGAACCACTTTAAAGATGGCCCAAAGCATTATATTTACATAAATACACAACAGGAGGAAGGTCAGTCCATGACCTAGTGCAAAAGCTCCTCAGCAGCAGAACATGGGACATTCCAGAAATACTGGAGTCCTGCCAGCAAAGGACAGGATGGATGTGTTGACAACCTGCACAGGTGATCCTTCAGCACTGAATTCAGATGGTAAAAAAGGCAAATTCATAACAGGCTCTTCACATCACCAAGGAGGGCAGCTAAGTCCTTTCAGTCAGGATGTTGAAAGTAAACAAATACTCCTTGGGATGGAAAAGCAGTTGCTCCTTTAGTTCTCAGCTGTTTTAAAATCTTCATTTCTCTTGACTTTGTCCAAAGCCCAAGGAAGCTTTTCAGGTTCCCCCACCCTCTCTAACTAACAGCAGCTGGGGATCAGTGTTGTAAGCAGCATTAGGAGCAGCAGCACAGCAATACAGGCATCACATCATCCATCCCTTTTACAGCAAGCAGTCCAGTGCGGCTCAGGCTGACTGATAGCAATGATAGGGGAGCATGGAACACTTCTCTAACGTGGCAAGGGCTCACTCGGCCAGCTCCTCATCCAGCCCTTGCAGTCATTGCATGAAATGGAAATGGGAAAGCCTGTGACCTACAAGAAACTACTCAGCTCTAGCACACAGACAGATGGAAGCATTTTTTTCCCCACAAGTAAACAGAAATTTAAAAAAGGGGATGGGGGGTGGAAGGGTAGGGACGCTGTTTGTTTTCAAGGTGCCAGCGCTATTTAGAGACCTGCAGGGCGAAGTCCCCAAGCAGACAGAGAAGCTGCATTGCTCATTAACAAAAAAATAAGCAAAGGCCTGCATAGTTTTGGCAACCAACGTGAACTTCATGTTCTTACCCATGTTTTCTTTCTCTTAGTGGGAACACCTGGTAACAAACACCATCCTCTACCTGCTAACGATCCAAACCAACACCTCCATACTGCATCTTGCTAACTCCTACCTCAGTATTCTTCAGGAAAAGCAGTAAGGGGCAAGAAAGTCCCCAAACATGGCAAAACTCCCTCTTTCTAGCATCCCTAGTAGAAAGTTGCTTATAGCAGATCTCCACCTACCTGGAGGACTCAGGTAGGAAAGCACCCCCAGACCTAGAGGAATACACATCTCCACCCTTGGAAAACACAGGATAGCCCAGAGACCAGACTGATGCAGCCTTTATATGAACAGTTGCTGGATTGGAGCACCATGTCTTGAACCTGCATACCAGACAGCTCAGTCAACACTAGTCCCTCTTCCAGCAAGGAAGAGGTTAATAACAAGTTGCAGAAAGTCCTTAAAAGGACCGCTCCCCACATGCACACACGTAAGTATTTTCAACATATCAAGCCATAAAACTTACTCAGACCAGCAGCACTCTGGGGATCTGAACTGCAATGCAAGGGAAGGACACTGCCAGAGACATCCATCTCCCACTGTAGTGCATCAGCTTGATTCTAGCACACCTAAGATGTTTGAGTTTCCAGTCACTAAATTCTGACAGCTTGGACTCATTACACATTTCTGCTCTGCCTCAAGCACCTGAATGTCTCTGGAGCCTTCATCTGCAGAGTCACCTTCCTCCTTCACAGCACTCTCTGAGCCCCTGCCAAAGCCATGAAGCAGGGTGCAGATGGAAAATGCACCTACCTCACAGTTTTTACTCCTGAAACTCAGCCCTCATTCAGTGTTGTTACTTAGATTTTCCTGTGAGCTTAAATGCACAGAACTACAGCCTCCACAGACTGCTTCACAGCTCCTTCAGCTCAGCTAGACAGCAGCACTGTCTGTCCTTCTGTCTCCCTACTGTTCAGTCACTTCACACCCATGCTGTGAGCTACCAGCCTTCCCCAAATGTTCCCTGGGCACAGAGAACAGTTCATGCCTCTTCATACCTCTTTTTTCCCCCATACAGTGAGAACATTCCTTTTAACCACTAGCAACTCCAATTCACAATTCTCATCAGTGTTAGCTGAAACCAGGGGTGAGCCCCAGCGACCAGCTTCCCTCATCAGACACTATCACCACCTGTGCTGTTGCATTATGACAAGATGCAGGCAGCCATGCTGCTTGAAAAAGCCCAGGAAGACCATCTTTGGTTTCTACCACCAAAATCCTTCTATGTATGTACAACACAGCAGTCAAACCAGGACCCTTATCCCTAAACACCATTCCTCAAAGTGGAAGACAAGTGCTTTCAGTTACCAAAAAGGAAGATGTGCCAGCCAGGGCTGTCTTCTGGGTCATATTCACATCTGGAACGTGGAGGATTGGGAAAGTTCAGTGTTTAAAGGTTTATGAACAGAACTGCTCTACATTGTTCTCAGGTAGAAACAGAAAGTGTTCCTTCCAAAAGGGTTTGGGCTGCCAACTTAGTTCCACGAGAGGTTTTGGAAATCCTAAGGACAAGAGGAAAGCCATGGCAGGTAGCCAAGGACAGATTTCCAGTGAACATCCTAACAGCTGTGGTATCAGGGAGTATGAAAGGAAAGGAATGAGGCATCATGTGATTCAGGTGCCCTGCCTCAGGCATTGATGGATTTCCAGCGGTCACTGTCTATGCTGTTGATGCTGCCCACGTGGTACGGCATAGAGGCCACATCGTCCAGATAGGCTGTGGTGTCAATCTGAGTGCTAGAGTAGAACCCAGAATCCATTCCTTCCTTCTTGGCAACAGCATAAGGATGGGGTAGGTGTACATCCACATCCTCAGGTTCATCCACCTGACATTTGTAGGAGAAAAGGATCTTCGGTTCAGACCTGGAGTGATGAAAGATTTAAAATGCATGTTTACATGTGTGGTATTACAGCCACCTATTCTTAACTGAAACTCATCAGCACTAAGAAATCATGAATTTAGACCTTAAACACTCTTTAAATGAGCTTTTGGCCTAGAAATTTATGTCAGAACACGAGTACACTTCAAGTTCTACCTGTGTACATCATGAAAACCAAAATACAAACACTTGTGCATCAGCCGTTTTTGTCTTTAACTCCAGACACTGTTCCCTTCTAACTTCAAAGTGGTACAGAGGTACATTTTTATATTTTAAAAGCACTTTATCTTCTTATATATTTTAAAACCAGTTATTTCAAGGCCTCCTGTTTCTTGCTAATGAGCAAACAAATAGTAAAGCCTACACTAAACTGCTCATTTTCCCACCAAGGTGCATTTCCTGTGAGTGGCCACACGGCGGCGACCCCGGCCTGAGAATCGACCTCCCCAGGGCTTTTCACTGGTGATTTTTGGGCCCGTGGTAGTCTTCGGCCAAGAGTTACTGAACCCCCACATCCTTTCTAAAAATCTACCCCAAAACCCACCCATTTAAGATGGCCGTTTAAGTTCCCCGGGCTCAATTCTTCCTTTAGCTGTTAACTTCAGCAGAAAAGCTACACAGGATGCTGACGCTGAAGAAATGATCCTCTGAAATACGTGAGGAATACAGCCATCAGCTCTGCTCTGCATACAAAGGAGCCCTGCATAGAAGTGAGCAGCCCTGGGTCACAGAAATTCCTCAAGGAAGAAATTAAGACTGGTTCTCTAACTGATGT